CTCTCTCGTTTCATCTCTTCTTCTGTCTTTCTGAAAAAGACACTCACTAATTCACGATTTCTCGCGTATTATTGCTGGGATCGTGCCACCCTTTTTCTCCCGGCCTACTCTTCGCCTCAGCAGACTCGCCTGATTTGTTTCTCCATCGGATCGACGAGCTCCTGCCTCGTACTCCACGCTCACTCGTGTGTTCGAGATAACGGATTTTCCGGCGGAACCCCGGGATCTATGGATCGAACGGTATCGCCGCCGATGTCTTCGTTATCTTCACCCCTCTCGGCTACGAGGACGATAACAGAATACCGATTGCTAACCCCTTGGGCCGATCACGTCCGCGAACTTCATTCTTGTTTCCTATTCTTTCCAGTCAGACGTCTGCGTCTCCTTAACGAGCTCGATAAATGAGCGATGCAACGATACTTCGCCGTAGTCGCGTTGAGGAGATTTAACACTTTAAGATCAGACATCTTGGTGTGGCAGTTCTGAGCTTTTGCAGGACGATATCGTCTGCTTTTTTTGAATGATCAAGTAGTCTTTGCGATGGTTAACTGTGTATACACGTTTTTCGGGAACTAGTTTTAATGAAGTGTACAGAGTGAATCAATGTGCACGATCGACATTAGCATGAAATGTGTTTTGTTCTCAATCAGATTAACGATTAGGAATTGCTTATCCTTCGTAATGCCTTCGTTTCAAACAACGTTGAAGGTGTGGCTAATTTTGACCACGACGACACGTTTGATACAACAATTTCTTTGCTTGATGACCATATGTGGATTTGGAACATTCTCTCAGAAAGAATAAGGTTCGTACGTCGTGTAATTTGAAATAAGACGCTTTTCAAGAGGTGACTATTAGACTGCAAATCTTTGTATAAAATAAAAATTGTCTGCACGAATTGCAAGAAAAGGGAGGTCAACAGAAATCGATTTCTTCTCTTAACCCCCTTCCGTACTTCGACGAATCTGACTCATGATAGGAATTTCTATCAATAATCATGTGTAAATTATGAATAAAATTCTATTCTGTTGTCATCGATACTTAAGCATTCAAGTAAATGTTTCTGCCGCACGTTGATCAGAGACGATCACAAGAGTGTACAAGGCACAGCAGGTTCGTGCGCAATATCCATGCTTCTGTCTAGATTATTATTTAAAACAGAAATCTGTTGAAAATTATCGAACTGGCACAGTCATTAATATCCTCTGGTTGCTTGTCGAGACACGCCACCGGATTCAGTAGACGGAATCGAAGAAAGCCGGCCAGGTCCTGAAAAGACCAGGGTCAGAACAAGCCCAGGCACCGCACGGAATCGAGCGAAGCGGGATTGCGACAAATGGTGACGGTGTCTTTCCGATTGGAATGCCACCACCAACGCGGCACTGTCGCATTATCCTCTCGGCAGAGCAGGGAGTAGAGGCAGGAGGCTCTTGCCGATCGGTTGAAACGCGTAGCGAGGAAGGCGCAAAAAGTAGTAAAAGAGGCGAGTTGGGAATCGCGCGCGATTTACCGCGCACGGAACGCGAACGGTGCGCTACGCTCGGCAGGCAATATCTCATTGAGGGAAGGAGGAGGTGACTTTAACGTTGGCCCCACGCTCTTCCCATGAGCAATCGCGGTTGAGACGGGCCTGGACGTGCCCGGTACGAGTAAGATCGTTAATCTTGCCGCACCGATCGGTCTCAGATAGTAATTGTTACGTTCTCGTTTCTCGTGGCTGACTGCCTGAATGTGTCCGACGATCCCACCTCCAGCTTCTCTTTTCTCTCTCCTCTTTTAGTCTGGTCTCCCTCACCTTTTTTCCGGCGGTGATCGCCTCCTCCTTTCCTCGGCTGCTCGCCTTCTCCGGTCCGTTTCCCGCTCGCGCGTTCTCCGCGCCGCTTTGCTCGCTCGTCCGAACCCCTTGTTCTTTCTTTTACGGTGGGAGTGCCGAACGATCCTCACCCACCACCGGTGTTAATGCCTTTGGCAAGTTTGTTCGCATTACAATAACCTCGGTCTTTCCCGCTTCGTCCTCCCGGCGCGGCTCCGTTTCGCGCCGCGCCACTCCGCTCGGCTCGCGGACAGCCCTACCGGCTGCCCTTTCGTACGCCTCTACGATGTTAACGGCTTCCTTTTTCTCGCCTGATCCCCGTTCTGCCACCATACCGACGGGGATTGACTCCGTAATCTCGCGTACACAGACCCCTTCAGCTTTTTTCATCACTTGCAACCCTCTCCGAACTAACCACCCACCCTCGGCCAACCCTCGCAAACGTAATCAAAGAATCCTCGCAGAAATCACTGCGAGCGCCATCAAATTTTTCTGCCGATATGGAATGCTTCTGAACTTCGCGTTGTTAACAAGACTTCGTCGTTTTTTGCATAATGAGAAGAACATGTTCATACAAATGTAATAGATCACAGTAAATACTCATATTTGCAATTTACAGTCCTTGAAGAAGGGAAAAATATAAAGGCTTTGGCACTCGTCAAAGACGCGAAATATATCAATATTTAACGGTAGCTGATAGCCCAATGTACGTAATGATTTGATTAATTTTTTCCTTTGAACATTGCCATAAAACACGATTTAAATACCCGTTTTCATAATTGCATTTGCATTTTGCCACATTGATTGTGCTTATCCTAGCTAAGAAAAATGCTAAGGTATAGTGATCTGCTCTAATTCTGTGCGAAGCGACTATGAATTCTCTTCCCATGTTTTTGTGAGCATGCCAGGGAACCACGGAGTCGGCATGAAAGGTTTGAAAGTCTTTTCATCTTTGAAAGGATCCTGTTTTCTTAATAATTCGTTAATACATACATTCATTCTTTTCTTGAAAGTAGCAAAAACATCGGTGTAAAGAACATGAATAATGTCTAACGAAGTAGAGTGAACAGCACTTCTTGCAGCACGACCAGTCTTTTCGTTTCAATCGACATCGAGGTGAAATGGGAGTCAAAAGGATTTCATAAAGTTACTACCAGCATTTTGGTGTTCGAACTTCGTTTACTATTAAACATGATTAGTACGCGTTTCCTCTTCAGGCTCTTGGAGTTGCATTCATTTGTTGCATATCCGTGGATTGTATCACTGTTGCGTATCAACGTGGACGAGCTAATGCTTCATCTTTTGTATACATATACATGGGCACAGTAATACGATACGATGATATAAGACAATTGGTTACCGGGGTTTAGACACTTCAATCCTTAAGCTTGGCGTTTGCAAATGCATCAGAATATGAAATGTTCTAGATTGTAGGTAAATGTTCTATAGATCCAATCTTCTTGTTTGCATAACGAAGATGTTTAGAGGTATGTACAGGATTTCTGTTTTTTTATTCAGTATTAACGTAGTTACAGTTCGGACGTCGAAGCTTGATTATAGGCAGAGACAATGCATTTATAATTTTTTTAAGGCTAGCAGTCCTCCGTTAATATTTTGAATCTCTTCTTCCTTAAAGGAAGAAACTAATGATTAGCGATCTCCTTTCGAAGAACCTTATATTTTAGATTAAGCCGTATGATTTTATATATATATATATATATATATATATATATATATATATGCGATTTTATCAATTTTCAAATACATTTCAACTTCATGAAACGTTGACCATGATAATAATATTTGCGACACTTCATGCAAGATCAAGATTTCCGACAGAAGCGTCAACTGTTTCGTTGTAGCCTAACTGACTGTAACAATCTGTAGCCTAATTTAAAAAAATAGAACATTAAGGCTAAATTTAAGATCAGATCTTCAGCATCAAATAAGACTAATTTGCCAAGCATTTAAACGGAATTAGCTGGTGAGATAGCAAAAGAAATGAAAGAATCTCAACTAATACCTGCGTCAACTTCAAACTGTTTGAAACCTCGTGATTCTAATTTGGCACAATTGACGCAATTTACCAATCCGTATCGCTACCAACGTAACGTCGAGAAGATGCACTGGTGTACAGGGCCCGAAATACCGTGGGAGCAGAAGCCTAGACAGATGACAAGAATTACCGGAGAGTGTCCGACAAGTTTGTTTCAATTACAACGGGGTCCAAACTTGTTGTGTCGCCTCACAGGTCCGCTGGCCTCCTCGTTTCGCCTCTTCCTCTCTTCCTCCCCGTGTTCCCTACCGTGTGCACATCTCGGGCCCTGGGCCCCGTCTCGGGTCCGGACGTGGTTATAAATTTGGTAGCCGCGTTAACCGGTGACGGGGACCACGATATCCGAAATGTCGGTGGATCCGGTGTTTTCGTGCTCTCCGCCAACGACCGATTCCACCCGTGCCCCGAAAGAGTGTCGTCCGAGAGAAAACCAGTTTCGCAGTCGCGCGGATTCCTTATTTGCGGGCCCGACGAAACCGTAGATTCGAGTTAATCGTCGATGAGCCTTCTCCCCGTGGCTCCCTTTCTCTCCTCGACAACGTCCCACTCCCGTAGACGTTCGCCAAATTGCGAATTGCCTGTCGAAAGTCTGCGGAAACAGAGATGTTCGACAGATTCGAGGCTAGGGTTCGTAATCTAGGAGGTTCTATAGGATTAACGATGAATGGTATAGGCCTGGATTAGGTGAAAGATAATCTTCCACAGTTTTGCAGACGTTTCACTCTCGTAGACCTTTGTTAAACTGTCTTGTTGAACTAACTTTTGTTAAACTAAAAGGATTCTGGATCTGAGAAGTTTTCTGGAGGAAACGGATGGATAGATCTTCGCGAGACCTATATATAGGCTGTACAAGATCATTTTCCAAAGTCCTGTGTGTTTCGAATCAACATGAAACCGATATAATAAGCATCTGGGTTACTCACTAAGGATCGATGAATCTTCAAAAAATCCACGAATACTTTGCAAAAGCTCGTGTCCCAAAATCCTGGGAATGCTTCGCTCTCGTAGATATTCTCCATAGTGCCTGTCGGAAATGGACAGCAACGAAGACCTATATTCAGTGATAGACTAAAAGGATCGAGGATGCAGGAGATTCGTTGTGAAAGGGTTGATGAATGGTGAGGCCGTGTATAGATTGTAAAAGATCATTTTTCAAAGCCGTGTGTGTGTTTGTGTGTGTGTGTGTGTGTGTGTGAATATTTACAAACGAATTCATTTAAATAAGAGTCACTGTTAACAGAGTTCGGTTACAGTATTATCGTCTGAACACCTACTCCTACCTACGCAGCAGCGTCTAGGCAAATACATGATCAGGATCCGCGCGGCGTAACGATTCGGCCGGGACTAGTTCCGAACAGGTTTGTTCCGGGGCGTTGATCCGTCCGCGACGTTGTTAATTACCTATCTAAATGCCTGCGGCTCCGGCGTGAAGATGCTTCTAGACCAAGCGAATTGTCGCCGTTTCATCAAACGTGCCGCATTCATGCACGATTCGACGAATGTCCAAGTCACACGAGTTCGTCGATGATCAACTTAAACCGCACGATCATTAGCTCGCCGATTCGTCGTTGTTGTTCTTGCGTAGCGAGCGCGTATTTGATCAAACTGGAGGACGATCGAGGATTCGTCTGATCCGAACACACCGTAACGCCACCGGATGCCGCGCTGGAGCATTACACAAACGATCTTCGTAGCACTTAGCGTAACCTTAATCGTAATAAATTGACCGTAATCGTAGTAAGTAGCTTCCTAGGTGCTAGGGGACGTTGTCCGGCCGACATTGTTGGTTGGCCGGCGACGGAGAAAGTGGGAGACATTAAGCAAACAAGAGGACGAGTCTCCTGAATGGGATTCCGACGCACCGATCGGCCCAGTTCGCCAAATTCCGGAATCGGGATCGGGCTCGGGCTCCGAGGGTTTAGGCAGACACCGAAACGTTCTCTCGCTCTCGTCACCGTTCGAGGATTTTCGTAGAGACACCGCGCGAATCACAAGGATCTGTAGGACACCACCTTGAACGCTTTCAGCGGTCGTGCTTGGTCAGCTCGAGGGGCTGCTGGTCCGTCCAGTGGTCCCTCCAGGCGACGGTGGGCGAGGAGGGCACGTCCTGGTCCGTGTCCTGCACGTCGATCTCCTCGTCCTCTTCCTCGTCCTCCGGCCTCTCGAACTCGCCGTTGTTCGCCAGCTCCGAGGAGCCGATCCCGGGCCCCGAATTGGGCCCGTGCCTCTGCTGCTCGTACGCGGGACTCGAGGGCCTGGGCAGGCTCGGCGAGTCCTCGCCGACCAGCTGGCTGATCATCCTGAACGCGCTCGGCTTCCTCTCCGGCTGCTTCGCGACTGGCTCGACCCTGTCGATCCTCTCGGTCCTTTCCGAAGCCTCCCTCGACGAGGAGTTGGTCACCACCGCCCTGAACGCGCTACTTTCGCCGCCCATGCCGGCGATGGAGCAGCTTGACGCACGGCAGAGTTCTATACCGGATGCGGACTGCGGCTGCGGCGGCGGCGGCGGCTGTTGCTGCTGCGGCTGCGGTGGCGGCGGCGGCGGTGGTGAACGCTTTAAGAGGTTCATGCGCTGATGACGCCGCCACTTTGCCCGTCTGTTGGAAAACCAAACCTAAGAGTCACGAGTTAGGCCGTTAGAACGCTCGTGATCAAAGTCGACTATGGTACGAGGGCTGCGCGCGCGCTCCAAAACGAAGGCCTGTCTCTTGCTGTAGCAAGGGTCAGTCTTTTGGATCAGTTGTCCAACTGTGCTTCTTGTCTTGCTGCAATCATAGTCTAGAGAACTAGCGACGAAGACAGGCCCTCGCGGAGACGCGCCAGTCCTGCGACAAACATATCTGCGATGCAATTGATCCCCACCTGTACACGAGCTTCCGACAACGAAGTCTTCGAGGCTAAACGCTCCCGCGTCGACACGCAGGGGTAGTGCGATCTCTCGAACTCCTTCTCCAGCTCCTCCAGCTGCTCGGAGCTGAAGGTGGTGCGGTTCCGTCGGAACTTAGGCTGCTCCGATCCATCCACGCTACCGTCGTCACCGTCACCGTCTGCGTACAGAAACAACCAGGCTTTTTCTACTACTGTCATCTAGGGAGCATCGATCTTTGCCCCGAGTTTAGCTGAACTAAGCCCCGTGGACTTCCAAGGCGGTAGAATGTAGAAGTAGAAGGTTGCTTTGATGATCTTAGTTCCTTGCTCTATGACATTTTTACGGTAAATAAAGAAACGGAGAAATAAATTTGGAATAGACTATAAAATATATTTAGCTAGTTCTCGGTGCTTAAATCTGAAACTGCTAATGCTAATTGGTAGGATTAGTAGCTTGGGACGTGTGGAAATGCTCGTTGAATAAGAATGCGCAGTCTAATCTATCGAGGACGATTGCGGTCATCTATAGTGGCCGATTATTCTAAATAATTCAATACGATTACAAGAAATAGGTACCGTCTACTGTTGCTGTAGAAAATTACTTACAACCCTTTCAGTGCTGACTAAACTAAAACAGTGTGGTAGAAGGAATATCTATTATTATATTATATTTATATTATAAATCATGTAAACACACACATCATGGTAGATTAAATATTTCATAGATGCACTCGCGGGTATTCCATACGAACTACGCATTGGAAACTTTAATCAAATTGACATCCTGTTGTTAGTTCTAACTCCGTGTCTACTAAATTACAAGTGTAAGATAATTAAAAAGAGAAAAAAATGTAGAGAAGAAGTAAAGTAAATCGAGCAAACTGACTTCTGGAGTATGGTTTCAAGTATACTCGGCTGGCTATACACGAAGATAATAAACGAACTACGCGTGCTTCAGAATTACAAGTTGCAGTGTTCCGCCATTGTAATTGGGCTCTATCGACTCACTTATTATTGTATTACTATGTTATAGGGCTTTCACTCGCTCTGTCCCCTCGACTGGTAAGATAGAGGCGCGAGAGTCGCCAGTCAATGAACAGTCATAAAATCATATCGATCCATTCCACCAGATGTTATTGGCTCAACGCTGGTTGGTTTCGCGCCTTGAAAGCAAACGCGACGATTCCCAAAGGTATTAGGATACTTACAGGAACTTCTAATTTCTTAAATTTATTTCAAAATTAATTATACGAGACTATAGCAAGTACATATACACAGTGTAGCACATATTTTAGCACGCCACGATTTTTCATGCACTTCTGACAGTCTGACAAAAAAATGTTTTCAGTTCTCATATTAAGTTATAGTAATATTTTCAACTAATCGTAATTTGTTTACACGACTGAAATTGTGCTTACAAGAAAATAGACTACACTTTGAGCACTTATTGTAATTGATTGCTTTCGATATTAACGCTTTCGTTGTTCAACCCTAAATTGCTGAAGTCCAGAACATTTGAAGATCATAGTATAGTAGGTCGTTGAATTCAGTTTCTCATGAACAATAACCCTACGAAGTTAAAAATACAGAGTGCCACTTAAAAAAGTCAAGGTGCCCATGGCTTTTAGTAGAAAAACAATAGTTTTCTGAATTTGTTATTTTTTAATATGCAGTTGACTAAATATTTATTGACTTTCATTCAAAATATTCTTTTGTCGGTCTGTCGAAAGTGCTTGAAAAATCGTGGCGACAATTATGTGCCCCACACTCTGTATATATTATAACAATAACGTTACCTTTATAAAAGAAAATTAAATCTATTTTTCTGTCGATACATCCACAATGTTCCTTAATTACTTCTTGGGCTAATTTCAGCATCCGCTTTTATTCGCATTGTTATTATTTCTAATCCCATTTGGTTTCGTGCATTTCGTAGTATGTTCCTGATATTAAGAAACCATATCGTATGAAATCAATTTAGCATGCGTGATAGGTAAACTAATAGCATAAGTGACAAACACTTATAAACTTAATATTGTATTTTCGACAATATGATGCTGTAAAACTGGCAGGAAAATGATGTAAACTGAATGAAAAATTACAGTTTATACTATTAAATACGCAGCTGTTCTAATACTTTTGTAGGGTGTGTACATGTGAAGACGTAACTATGTATAGTGTGAGGTATCTAAAAGTATACCTAGGAGAATGAAGTTATACGATGATGTCTCGTTCACAATTCTGAAGGGGTTGAAGTGACAAGACAAATGTAAGCTATGTTCCCGAAGCTTGATCAAAGAGTATGCTTCGTCCGTGGCTGAATTTTCAAACTACATACAAGCTTCACAATACATAACGAACGACGACTTTCTATTCGAGACCATGAAATATATTCTCGTGATTTTAAAATGGCGTACAGGTTACGTGCTCGCTGATTTTAACTACACTGCCGGTGATAAATTTAACATCTATCCCAATGATTTACGAGAATAGAGCTTGTTGAGAGATGTACAGGTTCAATAATTGCTTCTAGAAGTGTCTTCCGCAACTAGTCTTGAACTGTCAGCGTTTAGTAGTAAGCTATATATAATAGTTACACAATTCGAGTCTGCAGTAAGTGTTATTGATGCTTTGATACTCATTGCTATTTTACCAATAATCTGCGTGATTCGATTCGTGTAGTGTATGTATTTTTTAATAATTCAGAGTGGATCATTTTAGGCAGGAGCCAGCAGGACAAATGGATTTTCTTTCCTCTGTACTCTTGTACTCTAAAACTATCCACAGTAGCGGATAACGATGTGACACCAATTTTTCAGAACCCAATTTTCTCAATATTCAATAATATCTTGATTTCGATAGCAATATTAAAATCTCCGAATCTTTTCATACTTTTAAAGTATCTGATGAACAAGACAATTACAATTCCATTTTGGAGTATACCATCATTTTCTTCGGGGCGTTATCCGTTAGTTTCCGTGTAGATTGCAAACCTTTGCGCAAAGCAACGATTTTCTACATCGATTACAGGAACAGGAGTGAAGTAGTTGATACCTTCTTTTATTAAACCATCTACTTAAAATTCCTGTCATGTTTACACTATGTTTTGATTCGTTAATTCATATTTGTTACAAGTATACGAAATCCGCAATTCCACTAATAACACATAAGACTGCAGATTTCTGTGCCAAATAAAAATTATCACTGCAAAGCACAGGCGTTAGGTAGCTTCCATCTTCTTTTAATTAATTACGACGTTCTTGCTATTTTCTTATTCACTTACTTATTTCTGTAAAAAATGCATATCGGTTATCTTACTGTTTTCACGATTCGAATAAGTTGTACACAATGTAAAACTATTTGTACACTCTCGAAATGCTTCAACAATTCTATTTTTCATCTAAGAATTTTCGTCACAAACGCATAAGATAATATTATAAATAAAATCTGCTGGCAAGCATAAATACGGTTCCTCGAGTCTAGTTCATGCAAAAATTAATTGAGAACCAAGCGTGACTTCGACGATCGGAAGTGTATTGTTTTCCAAGTATAATACTCTTTCCGATTAGTTCGAAATACTAACTAAGGTCTTAAGTACTTCTCAATAGCTTTGCAATATATATGTCAAATAAGATAATATAAAAAACGACATTAAGAAAGTCGCTTTACCCACTTACTCGCTTACATGGAATATGTTTCCACTAAACTCAACAAATACATATTGTTTATAAAGAATGGCCACTGTCATAAGATATTCTACAAATTGTGATTATATGACACCTAGACTTATCTCAGAAGATATCGTTAAAATCCCAGGGGGGGGCAGTTGGGTATTCTTCTATATATTTCGAAAGCGACTCTCTTAACAGTTCGTACAATACATACCAAAAATGACATACGTTTTTTCAATTATAAAGAGACAACTAATTGTGTAAAAAGAGGCAACTATGTATCGTTCGTTTGTTTCTCTTTCCACGTATCGAGCGAAATTAGTAGGAGTATCTCATTTTCGTGGAAACCTGCGAAACCTGGAATTCTGCAATTTGGAGGAAACTGTATCGGCTGGCCACCGAATTTTGAAAACCGAAGCCAGCGACGGGTTCAAGGAACCGTACGATAAAAAGTAAAGAGGATCAATGATCACCTTGCAGGTATCCCCGAGCCATCGCGTCGGCGTGCAGGGAGTGGTCCGCGGTGCCAGCGGCCGATGCAGAGGCGGCTGCAGCTGCAGCTGCGGCGGCTCCCGGGCTCAAGGACGGGGGCAGCAGGAGAGCGGAAGCCGCGCCGGAGATTCCGGTAGCCAACGGCGGCAATATCCAAGGGTGACCCGCCGCCCCCGGTGCCGGCCAGCTCGCCGGCAAATGGTGGCTGGTCCTCGGGTGTTGATGGGCGCTGTTGAAGTACGGGTGTGGACGCGCCGCGTACAAACCGTACCCGGCCGCCCTCGCGAATTCCGCAGCCGCCCTCTCCGCTGCCCTATTACGCAGGATCCGATTGATGCTGCTCACCGATGGCGCCGTCGAGTTGCTGCACACGCCTGAAACCAGCAAACCCGACTCCTTCTCTCAACGATCTTCTCCGAGACCTTCTCCAGATCGTGCGATCTCTTCAAACACAATTATGCTTTCTACCGTGTCATTTGAATCGTAATTAATGCAATTTCGCTTTCATATCTTTCACAGATGACGTACAACATCGTAATCATGATCATTGATAGTTTGCGTATGTACATATAGTGTTAGGTAGAAGCTGATTTCGTAAAACGCAATGGAGACGTTGACTTCACTTTTTATTCGAGTTAAATGTCGCATGCGGGTTAGCTTGAAAGTTAGCTGAAAGAAAGCATGCGATACATTATCTATGAGCCAGTCGTTATAAGGAAAAGAAAGGCTTCCAACATTTTCTTACTTATGGGAATGGGGATATTGATTTTTTACTATCGCGAGCGTTCCCGTAGAATTGAATAACGTTTATTCGAGCCAGTCTTTTTACCGTGTATAGTAACCGAGAGCTCTATCCAAGCGTTGGAGCTAATTCTTTAATAACTCTGTTTACAGGAAACATTGAGCAATTCCAACTTTGTTTGCACGCACGCCTGACTGTACGCTTGGTAACTCGAAGGCGAAACATTTCCTAGAGGATAACACTGTCGCACAGGCACTATTCGAACATGAAACTTGATCTATACAACGGTTGCATTGAATAAGCGTTACAAGTTGCGTTGCTTTAAGTTCAAGAGTCATGTGAGAATGATCGTGGTAAAACTTTTTGCACGGAAAGGGAATTCGGCACGCTCTCGAAGACAGATCGAAGAATGCAGTCCGGCCCGCGTCACCAGGCTCGTTTTAAGAAAGCGTTTCCTGTGCCAGATAAAGTAGGCTCGATCTCTAGCAAGGACTTTTGAAACCACGTCGATACACATGGCATCCGGTTCTTTCTGCGTCCGCGTCTGCTCTCGATTTTCATGTAAATGTCGCGCGGGTGACGCTACCTGAATGCCCCGAAGGAGAAAGTTGGCGCGACCGGATGAATTTCGATAATTAACCGGGAGAATTACGGACGAGGATGTGTCCCGGCGTGTCCCGACGCTCTGCGCATTTGAAAAGAACGTAAAGTGTGTCGACGGGCAAGGCCGCGGAGCTTCTTCGTTCCATAGCGCGATTGTTCGTTTTGCTCGCAGACACTTACGACTATTACTACGACCGATTTGCACCCGTGCACGAACCACGCGATCACCAACACAATTGTTCGCTGGTTTGCGCCGATTACAAATGGATGAATTCGCAACGGGTCTCTCGCGCCGCGTCTTCAGAGCGTTCCGCTTTTCTTAAAAGTCTGGCAACTTTGATTAGATCTGAAGCATTCCCTGTGGTGTTTAAAGCATTTGCCTCCGTAAACGGAATGATCCGCGCACGATGATTATCAACTATCACCTACTGCGAAATAGTCGGAATGATGGCATGACTTTGTTGCGATGCAAGTCGAGTAGCGTAGTATCTGCATGCGTGGTGATAGTTAACTAATCCAGTAACTAATCTTAAAAATAGTTAACTAATTAGCGACAGGTGACGATTACCGTATGTATGTAAATGGATTAACTTCGGATTTAAATGTAAGAATTGATGCTTCATTTAACTCTTTGGGGCACAGGATCTCGGAAAATAAGATAGATCCATGTTGCATAGAAATTTTATTGCGTTTTAAATTAGACGAAATTGGTATATTTTTATTAACAAAGGAATGACATAATATAAAAAAATAAGGAAATAATAATAATTCAATTCAATTTGTTGTTATAGGGCGGGACTAGGTATGGGTTCAGGAATACGCATGCAGCTATTGCAATATTTCAAGGTGGGTCTAAAAATGTGCTACCATGCATTTCCGTGTATCAAAAAGATGGAACATTTTTAATCACACCGTGCCTCAAAGAGTTAAGAGAAATAATTGTTGAACGGTGCAGAAACACTTTTACCTCACGATCTGACGGAGCGCGTAATTGTTGGAAACATTTCTCCCCAATGATCAAACGAGAGACATGATTGTTGGATGTTTTAACTATTCATTAAATAAAAATGAATAACAGGAATTAACTTCGTGCAGTATACATCGAATGGGAATATTATTACGCGATCTTCTGAACATGCATTCATACACGAATTAAGATACACAATACACATTTTCAATCTTGCGGATTTTCCCGCAAGATTCCATTTTCGTAGATCATTTCCCCAAATTCACAATGAAGAAGCAATAAACTCACGCATCAACTAAAAGATTTCTTCCGAGCAAAAAACTTCAGCCGAATTTTAACAGTAGGTTTACGGAGCACTGAAAATAGCTGTTTTATATTACTTTACACGAGTAACAATAACAGTTTAGCGATTTTGATTGTAATATTTGTGCCAAATAACACATTTATTGAATAAATAAATGTATATTTAGGACTTCAATAATCGTAAATTATAAAATTTATAATCATTTGACGAGTCCCGTAAACCTCGTCGGTTAAGAACACTGCTTTATTCTCGTCAAAGATAAATTTATATTCGGCCATTGATTCTTTCGATTGAATCAGAAAATTTTAATCTTGCCTACATACCCGCAATTTACGTATTAATTCGATATCATCCCGGAAGAAGGAAATCGAATTATCAGCAATTGCTAATGATTCCGTAGCAAGCGGCAACGACTCGCAAATTCGAACTGTAAGAATCGAGAATATGCTTACCTTCGGAGATGAGTCTCTCCCGGATCTCCCACGCGAAGATCGTCGGGTTTTCCCTCTTGTACTGCTCGATCTTGGCGACGACGGCCGGCGTCGCGACTTTTGGCTTGCTGCCACCGATTACGCCCGACGGGCGTAGCGTACCTGGAACACGATAGAACGAGCTTCAAGGACAAGGTGCTTTGGTAACACTGACGGTGCGGTGTCCGCCGATAAAATCGCTCGTAAACGCCGATGCTGGGCCGCGTTTATATGCCTCGTGCCGCATTCGAGCCGAGCCCGCATAATTTCGGAAAATCACGCGACCATCGGGTATCTCGGCCTAATGACAACGTCCCCGCGGCTCGGACGAATATGGTCTGTCAAATGGCGCTTATAAATGTGCCCCGAGCATACCAGTTGGATCGCATACCCCCAGAAACTGCTGCCTCGACCGTGCAAACGTTCTCATAGTCTGCTGGCCTCTGCGCCCAATTTACTCCACAATATTAATCCCTGCATTTCAATACCGTTAACCTGTTTTTCTTCGCAGAAGAAATTCGAAGTTTGTTTGAATAATATTAATAAATATATTTTTCGTTAGATACGCTCCAATTTCATCAGAAAGGAGGAGGATCCAAGTCCATTTTTAACACGTTCACTGCCACAAGCGGATAGAAAGTCACAACTGAGAAACGAAAATGTCAAGTTAAAATTAACTGAAGCGATTGTTTCTTTAATTTTCCTGCATGCTATGAATCCTGATAAATTTTAGTCTGCTCTAATATGCGACTACACAAGTTCCTAAATCTGATCAAAATATAATGTCATCCATAACATCACCGGTGTGATAGTGAATGTGTTAGCGAAGCATAGTTTGTGCGTTGATTTGTAGAAAGGATTTATATAGTACATTCAAGAAATACTGCTTCCTAACGCAGTACATTCCAAATGTTCGACAAATAACTGTCATGATAAAAGAAACGAAAGAAACATTGCATAAAAGAAGATGGTTTTTAACCAGACAGTAGAAGCATAGAATAATTTATATGCACATACTTTATAATATACTTTATAAGTATAAGTAAATACTTTACTTTACTTTTAAGCAAACATTAGGTCTACCGGAAAGTTCTGTCTGATAATGTCATTGAAAATTTCAATAGATATGCACATATTCATGTGAGACATATATTTTTAAAAAATGTTGCTCACAAATTGTCATCACGCTGGCAAGAGGTCATAAGTAACGACGGAAATTATATTGTACAATAAATATTACTAAATTTATGAAAAATCTATTATTTCCTTTCATTTCTTAAACGGACCTAATACTTTATAAGTCCACGTACATATATTAGGGTCGTGAGTATGATATGTCGGATTTTTAAGTGAATATATAAAACTGCATATCTTTTCTCAAAAGCTTTTCCTAACGAGATTTTAATGCGTAGATGCCTGTCTGAAGGAAATTCTGATCTTTCGAATCAATAAATTATGATATTGAATTTTTCCGACTGTCTTCATGTTCATATTGTTTAGCCCGTAAAAACTGTTCTAAATGTTTAAAAAAATGGAAGAAGATTGGCGAAAGATTCGGCGAATAAGCTGGGAGCTGCAAAATTTCATATTTTAATTCATTTAATTTCACAATTGTTTTGTACGACGTATGTTGCCGAGCGTTATCGTGGAGAAGTGGGCCATGCCGATTAACAAGTGATGGACATATAATTCTCAATTTTTCATGCATTTCATCGATGCATTGGCGGTACTTTTTGGCTGTAATTGTCTCCTCAGTTCGAAGGAATGAGTAATGATGCTTTCAGAGCATCATTTCTCACAGACGTTTTGGGTCTTTCACGCGGTTTATTTTGTAGAGAAAAATCACCAAATCGAACATTTTTAAACCAACGCTGCACTTTTCGATCCTTAACAGTATTCTCCCCAAAAGCCTGGTTTATATTGCGCGCAGCTTTTGCAGCATTATTACCAAGATTGTACTCATATAAAAAAATTACACACACACACACACACACACACACACACACACACACACACACACACGAATATCGGTTGAATTGATATCCTTACGAAATTCAAAACAAATAACAAAATGGAACATTTTTGAGAAAATCTTTGTTGAAATGTAACTCTGGCAATGGACGCACGACTATAAACGAGGTTATGCCAAAAACAAAAGCATAACGAAAACAGGGAGACAAACGTCCACATGTAAAGAAAATCAGACATTTCATATGCAGCAACCTAATAATTGCAGTTCGAAACATGCTCGCTGCTGACGACGAGTCTGATCATGATTAGCTGCTTCTACTTATTTCTGTCTGTATCTTGCTTCGGAACGGCCATTATTTATTGTACAACGGAGAACATTCTGCCAGAGCTACAAAATTGGATGAATCCACTACGGATGCGCTGCTGATAACAGTTTAACTATTAAAAATCACATATTAGCCACATACGTTAGAAAAATATGCCACGCATGTCGAGAGAACAAGAAAGATATATATTTAATTTACTATACTATTGCATATGTTTTTAAATATAAACATGCAAAACATATGCAATGCGAAACAAAAAATATACTTTAGGAATCACCTAATCACGACAGCCACAGTCATCCAGAGTTTAGTAATTACTCTCACTTTGATATCATGACAATGGTAGTACTGTGTATCACTTTCTGTATTAGCCAACATAATATCGATAATATAACACATAAATTATAATGGAATAGGGAAACCGAAAGTTTCTATAAAGTTTTCGGAGGTGCAGTCGAACGATTCCGGTATGATACCGGTATTTTATAGTTCGGTAGAAGTTTCTGGTTACAATCGATCGTTGTTTAATAAAAATAACGATGGAAAAAGGACAAGGATCATCCTTGTCTCATTACACGGATCGCCTTCATTTTTGCAGAGAGCGATTAAATGATCTTCCATCGAGTGGAAAAAATAGAGGTGGGGGCTGTTTTGCAGGAGCTTTCGAGTTTCGAGAGGCAGCGACGATTAGCTAATCGGAAGCGGCCCGAGGCGGTGCTCTCGTGCCGGTAGGCGAGAGAAACATAACGAGGCAGCATGGCAGCCGGGGACACGGTATCGGAAACGTTACACGCGCGTCTATTCCCCGATCGGTTCATATTTGATATCTCTGATTATCGCAGGCTATCGCATGCCGGTATCGTTTCACGCGCTAAGCTTCTAATGACTGCGCCGTGAGTCCGCCCAGACACGATAGGATTAGTATCCGATGTCGAGAGCGCCTATGCTCCCCGGGATTTCAATGCAGGCCGAGAGAGCTGTATCGTTTTGTGTCTCCATATTGCCAACACGAAACTTGCCACGAGGATCCTCTTCCTTACCCCGAACGGCCAAGTATCGGGTTCGCTACCCTCGTTCATCTTCGCTGAAACCACAATAGATGCCCAGCTGCCTGTTCTCCTCGTACGGTCTTTCGCGTTCCGATTTTTTCGTGTCTCTCCAACCTCTCTCGTAAACACGTCCCACAAGCTCGTACGGACACTTTGCTCTTACACCAATTACGCGCCTCGTACATGGATTCATTACGGTGTCCTGTCTCTCGATGTTATTCCGCCGATGTATTCGAATATCGAACAAAAAACGTAGTTTTTTCGAATCCGTAGTCCGTACTTTTTCGAATCCATTCATAGAACAGATCAAGTGTCGACCAGGACAAGAAGAAGTAATACAAGTTAGGTGAAAATGTCTTTCTTCTTTTAGTGATATTGATGAGTTGAATGTAACAATCTTCTTAAATTCTTCCAGTGCCTTCACAATTTTGTATTTCACTTTTGTCACAAATCCATAAAATCCGTAGTCTACTTATGAATATGCTTTCGCAGTTCTGTGGGATGAACTATCTTAATCTGTCCGTACAATGCAATATTTTGGTTCATATTCTATAAGATGATGCGTTACATGTAATGTGAAGATCTCTCTTACCAATGCAAACGCTAGTATATAGCGAACATACTTAAATAGTCTTATAAATATATTCTCGCGATATTTGAGCCGTTTATTTTGAAAGTGGCATAAGTCACTTTACCAAAATGAAAAGTGGTGATTTTTTAATGTTTATACGAAATTATTTATACTGAGAAAAATATCAGTATCCTGAGATAATAAATACAAGTAAATTTTCTCGAAAGTTAGCATCCATATTTTTAAACGTGTTAAAACGCAAACCCTTAAATATATCGACTTAAAAACAAAGTGACTTATGCCACTTTCAAAATAAACGGCTCATTTATAGATCGTTGCAGCAATCAATAAAGAATCCTTTTGATCTGTTACTTTTAATTTGTTCCGGAATTTTATTAGAGGATGTGCTGCACGCAACGGCGCACAATACGTGCTCTGTTGTTGGATATTCCGGACCATTTTAAGACGTCAATTTGTTGTCGTTAAATTTTTCCACTTTTACAATATTTATTCAGATATAGGAACGTTTAACCCTTAGCCCTCCGAACCATTCTGGACGTTGGCTACCAGCTACTCAGCGCCACTTTTCGGCAGAAACAGGCATTTACAGACCCTCGTATTATTTAGTATGATTTTGGAACTAACTAACATATTACAATGATATTGGACTTATATGAATTTGGCTGAAATCGAGAAATTTGCAAAAAAATCAATATTTTATTTTTTATAACTTTGTTATTGTTTGTTTTATAATTTTGTTTTGTTGTTGTAATCGCCATCTATGCGAACTCTTTCTCTCGTCGCCTTGTTGCTTGGACGATATCACTATCACTGCTATCAAAACGATAGACTAACTGTAGAAGAAAACCTTCTACATATCTGTAGTAACATTTCTGTGTAACATTTCTAACATATCTGTATAATCGTCTATCTGGAGCTCATCTTTGCTACTACTTGTGTCATGAGACTCATTCGTGTTTGAACGTTTTGCCATTGTTTATTACTAACTCACAAGATAATATTTACCAAAAAAACTTTTATCAAACAATTTATTTACCAAGAGAAGAATCACTTTTCCGATTTTCTCACTCGTTAGATCTATCTATACCGCTCGACGCTTCAAACCAGACTGAGTTCAGCTTTGAAAATCTTTTCCTCCAGATTTTATGATTATAAATCTCACTATACAGTGCGTGCTATGTTCGC